CACACACAAAAATAGCACCACATTATGAAATATTAATAACTTTCATTAATAGAAACTAAAATTTACAGTTTAGATATATGAGCAAACGTAATAAAGCTATCACACATTACGATGGTTATAAATAAATTAAAATTTATTCAGTAACATATTGTATACAGGTGGTTTACACATTGTGGAAAAATAGGAAAAATCGATACTAGACAACATGTTTCTAATTTAAGTTTCACTATTATTAATAAAGACTATTTTGTGTTTTCTTTAAGATTTTTAATTCCATGTAAATTCCATATAAATTCTCAACTATCCAATTTATTTAAAATAAAACACACACATCTTGCTATTTTTTTTTTAATTCTAAACAAATTAAAAGGTAAAACTCCTCAGTGTACCTACTTTAGGAAATAATGTTTTGGTGTGATTGCAGACATAATAAGTAGGTACTTTTTTGCCGCTAGCAGAAATGTAAATATTTAGTTTCGTGTACAGACTCGCGAAATGTCATGTTTATTCAAACGTTTTAGATAAATAATTCTTTAACATATTGTTATCGACACATACCAAAGGATAGAAAATCATGCGGCAAATATTTTGGTAATTTGACCTACCCGGTATTTAAAGTGAGATACCTCTCGTCATCATGTAATAAAACATTGCAAAGAGGGCATTTTCCATAAATTTACTTGAATGAGTTTGCGTTCCTGCATTCCTGTCGCTACTTTATGCGCCAGTTGGGTTACATTTCACCGATATCGGAAATAACTCAAACAAAGCGAACAAAGCCGCTCAAGCTTTGCCGATTGAATAAATTCTTTTCTGTTTTCAGACTGACGAAGATATCGGCGATATCTACCAAGACGAGGAAAATCAGGCTGCCATTTTGCTGAGGAACCACAACGATACCGTGATTGTGGTAAGTCTGATGCAGAACCTTGGCCTTTCTGCCGTTTTACGTAAAAGCAAGTAACAGCCACGGCAAATTGCGATAATTAAAATTATTAATCGAGCATGATATTGCACAACGAGATCGGTTCCAAGCGGCCAACTCGTTACCAACGTTGCGGTCAAGATAAACTGGGCCGAAATTTCCATACTGGCAATCGAAAGGCGAAAATACAACAGAAGTAATTGTAACAAGGAAAAAAATCGGAAAAACAAGAACTATTTATTGGTCAAAACAAGGTAATAAACGCCGGACAGGAAATGCGTTGCACAAATATAATGTCACAGAAAGTGAAAACAACGAGGTGGGTTTTTTATCGAGACAATTCGGTACGGGTAATTTCTAATGGCTAAAGCTGTGCAACCGGAGAATTAGATCCTTTATTGACATTTCATGATGAGACCGGAGTTGCATAAGAAGAAACGTTCTCACGATGGATGGGCCGAATAAAACGTTTTCGTCAATTAGCAGCGGTTTTGGACGTTTGAACTTATCAAATCTTGAATCGTATAAAAGACTCCAATTACTCCATCAATACTGAAAGTTGGTCTGTCGTGCTGTAAATTAGTTGGAGATAAAATCTCGTCAAATCATCACCCAAAAAGGTCAATTTATGTAAAATTAAGGAATCTCCGGGTCGCGCTGTATCTGGTTTCAAACTGTCGATTTTAATTAACTTGAATCGTTTGATACAGAAATTTTTGTTGCCCGATCAGAGTTAATGAGAAAGTTATACGTTTGAAAGGTGACCAACTGATCACGTTTTTTTATTTAACCTCTGAACTATCTAAATGGACTAAACATGATACATTTGTAACGTTTCTATAAAAAAATACAAATTAAACACTAAACCTCCTTGCACAGAGCAATAACTCAAAGTTTATCTATCCAACACCTCTTAATAATTGAACAATATCTATCACGATTTTAAATAAATAAGAGATCTCTTATAACTCACTCATTTTTGTATGGCATACGAGTTGTATTACAAATAATTCACTTAAAAAAGTACCCCATTAGTCCTACAGGCTCTTAAAATTAACCTTTTGTAGCGTGACTCACTTGTAATATTACACACTTGTACCATAAATACCTACAATTTTGACAGAACTAAATTATACATATACAGGCTATTCCGACTAAAACCCACACCAGAAGTGTTAGGACTTCCAACAATGATATTTATCTAAAATTGTGTTTATAGCCATAATCAGTTAGGTCCTGCTCAACGAAATTTTTTTCCGGTTACACCGGAAATTTAAAACTTCGTGATTTTAAATAGAAAGTTATCTTTTTTATTAAGTTTTTGGATTACTCAAATGATTTTGAGAGTGTTTTCATCAGCGTTCCCTATACAAAAGTTTAACGGTTTTTGAAATATTTAGACTTTTTTGAATTTCTTTGGATTTGCACCTTCCTCTTCAAAAATGATAACTTTGCAATGTTAATTATTTTGAAGTCGTGTTTGGGCATATGAAAGAGAAAGGTTAGATCTTTCCTTTGGTGTATTCATAATTGCAAAAATAATTAACAAACCTTCAAAATTTAGGGTTGGTTTGGGAAATTTCAAATATCCACAACTCATTTTTTTCAAATGGAAAGCCACAATTTTTTCTTCGAGAATTTAATTCCATCGATCCGTATCAACATTCCCTATACCTAAGATAAACTGATGACCATTATTTTGTATCGATTTCGGTGCAATCGGTATAGCAGGTGACATGTTTTGGGGGTCAAACAATTTTATGCCTAACCGGATTTTTTGTGTATCGCCACTGATTAAATTTAAAGTTTTTTTTGAAACAAATACAAAACAATCTAGCGTGCTTGTAAAATTTGGAGTTCGTATCGAGTCGTTTAGGAAAATTTAAGAAAAGATGGGAACAAATTTCCGATTTTGGTGCTATTTATCTCTGATAAGGAAGCGTTTTTGTTCATATGACAAACCCATATTATTTTCACATGTCCTAAATATTCCTGAATTTTCCTGTATATTGGTTATGTATAAAGTTTTTCAAAATTTTTTTTCAAACGTTTATAGAAGAAAAAAATTATTAAACAAATTATTCTTATGAAATATTTTAAATACGTATTATTGTTTTAACCTTCCCGTACAAGTACACAGCATTACTAATTCTCTAATTACACCTAGATTCGACAAGATATAACAAAATTATAGTATTTAGTACTATGACGATCTAGATATTATACTCGTAATTTCATTAAAGTTAACCGGCAGGTGGTCTAAACTATAATAATAATGTTAATGATGATACTTTTCTTAATTTTGTTTGAATTGTGTACAAAAAAAAAAAAACAAAAACTGCAGCAAAAGTTGAGAATTTCGCAACACGGATTAGTTTTAACACCATTGATAATAATTTATGACAATACTTTTTATTCTCAATGTAATTTAGTTTATAATAATATTGCATAATTTTAAAATACCAGGGAATAATAAAACCCGTTTGGCTACTAATATTACTAGATATGCTGTGCAATAGAAAAAGTCAGTATTTCTTGTCAATCAATAAATCTTAGATACATTAGAATATCAGAATTACCAGGAAGAGAAACATATACCAACACACAATAACTTCTTTATTGAAGTTTCTAAAAGCGCGAAAAGCATCAGGTGCAAACATATAATTTATCACGATGATATGCCAATAATGCATGTTTTTCCGGTCACTAATTTTACAAGTTGTGAATTAACATTAATGGCGGCAATTAAACGCATTTATAATTTATTTGGAAAGTGTTTAAAATATATCATTCAAATATGACAATGTAATTGGGTAATTTATGTTATGTGCTCATTATATTCGCAGTTTATAGCGTTTTAATTATTCGTATATCAGAAATTAAAATCAAATTTACGAGTATGTCACTCCCAAGCAAACCGAACAAAACAATGGAAAATAATAGCTAATTAAGAACCAAGTGTTTACAAATTCTGCCAAGACTTGCTTTCATAATTTAATCAATCAAACCGCGTGCGCATTTAAAACCCCTCAATCATTTTAAATAACGCCGCACACGTCTCACTAATTATAAAGTTTATATGAAATACTGCAGAAACTCTCATAACCATCGAAAAACCTTGCCAATCATGTTCCGCTTTTCACACGTTGAAATGTCTCTTGACCGATTTATTCCTCAGTTTTATTGCTCATCATTGACCTCTCGTCCATCCCAAAGCTGAAGAAGTTCAAGGTCGCTGTTGACCATCCGTGTCCCATCAAGGGTCGCGCTTACCTCAACACTCTTGAACTCTTTCAGCGCTCAAAAAAGTCACGGCTAGTAAGTGAAGGTCTGGTGCCTTATTGTCTCGAACATGTATTTTTTTCTTTTCGAACACAATGCGATTTTTAGTGTCTTCACCTTGACCAAAATATGTGCGTTTGCAACGGCCTCACACATCGCGGCTCAATTGACCTATAATTGTTTATTTATGTTATTAGTTGAGTAACGCGTGTTAGGAAATGCCCTTTTCGAAATTTTTGCGCAAGCCGATTGTGTGGATTGCAGGAGGGTAGCATCGGAGCCGATTTGGTCATACGGCCCATTCCTCCGAGGCTGCTGGAGACGAAAGAGAAGCCGACGCATGACGATGACGAAATGTTTTTGGACGCGGATGGCGAACTCAGCTCGGAAGTTGCAATCGACACGGGGCTGCCTATCAAAAGAAAAAAGCAAAAGATCCAAGGGCATCGACACATAGTGTACAAAAGGAACGGAAATCAAGAAGATACAATGAGCGATTACGGTGAGCAAACTTCGTTTACATATTATGCGATATTTACTCATTGTTTAGCTTTGATGGAGCCCGACCATTTGGGTAAAAGACACAAAAGAAGCACTTCACGGAAGAAAAGAGAAGCTCCATACACTATATACCCCGAAATTTTAGTCATAGTAGACTATGATGGGTATAGGCTACACGGGGGTGATAATTTACAAATCAAACGGTATTTCGTCTCATTCTGGAACGGCGTAGACATGAGATACAAACTTCTCAAAGGACCAAAAATTAGGATATCAATAGCGGGAATTATAATAAGTAGGGTAAGTTCACTTTATTGAAACTTTAATTTTAAAATTAACATTATCATCAGTTTCTATCCCAATGTCTTGAAGAAGGTTTTTTTTCGATTTAGGGTAATTTTCGAGAATGGCCTCGACCATATCCGTGCACAATTTCTTCCGTTTATTGTACTCTTTAAACACAACACGATATTCCCTTTCGATTTTCTCTTTATCGAAAGACTCGCTAATGTGACCTTCGGAAGCTTCTGATTTCGAATGCATTTCTTGAATTTCTTCTTCCAACTTCTTCTTCTTAGCCAGTAGCTCAGCCTTACTCAATATTCCTTCTAGATTCCGCAAACGGGTACTTTTTTCCTCCAGTTCCTTCTCAACAGTTTTCAAATTTGAAGCAATATTGTTACACTGACGGTCCATTGCTAACGTTTTGGAAGTCAAATCTTTCAAAGGCAATGATGATTTTTGAGGGACACAGTATATTTTTTGTTTGCCACAATTCTTCTCAATCACTTTATTGTTCTCCACTAGCTTATTAACGGCTGTAACGATTTGTGTTTTACTGAGTTGTTTATTCAGTCCTTCCATTATGTTGTTGATGGTGAATGGCCGGTTCTGAGTAGATAAAAACTGGAGGACTTCGTCCATGGTTCTGAAACAACATTTGACTTTTTTAGGGTCGGGATGCAACTCCCTACTTGGAACGAAATCGGGTGGGAAGGGACGCCATCGACTCGGCGGCGGCGTTAACTGATATGGGGAAGTACCTCTTCCGAGAACGCCGACTCCCAGTCTACGACATCGCCGTCGCAATTACAAAGTCAGTATATCGCGGAAATTTACTTTAGGTTGTCTTTTTGTCAAATTTTAACCACTTTGACTTAGGTACGATATGTGTCGACGTCGAAAAGGCGGCCGCTGCACCAAGGGAACTGCCGGTAATAAAAATTAAACCGCGTGTAAATTGCTGCTACTAACCCGGATTGAATACACCATCCAGATCCGGACTAATCGTTCTAACTAAATGTCTGACACGCAAAATGTGACAATTGTGGTGTTTAGGCGTCCATGTTTTTGTTAATTATTCTTTAGGTATAGTCGCTCTGGAGCTGAGGAGTAAATAACAACAAAACACACAAATCACACATTTAACAATATATGACCGGGTGTGTTTTTTACAGACTAGACATGTGCAGAAGGTCGTACCCCAACGATGTCTGCAATCGCGGCACGGCAGGTACGAACAGATAAAGGCACGATCACTGTAGTTTCCGAGTTGAATTTTCTCAATGTAGTGTTTTGGCACCCCGTTTTATCTCTCTCGGTAGTACCACGCCCGCTCTATAACCCCATCCACATTTACATGATACACAAACTCTAACTTGACTAATTCATTTAACAAAACTAATTGTTTGTTGATGGCGGTATCGAGTTTTGTGAGACTGCACAGAACTGCTTCAGGCTCTTCTGGTGATGGATTTTTTTCTAAAAAGCTTTGTTCTAATATGATTCTAAATAGGGTTTGCGTACGTCGGAGGTGCTTGCGTGGTCAACAAAAGACTAGAAAAGGTCAATTCTGTTGCCATCATTGAAGACACAGGTGGATTCAGCGGAATTATAGTCGCGGCTCACGAAGTGGGACATTTGTAAGATTTGAAAACCCCTCAAAAAGTCCCCAACTAAAATCTTCTCTATTATAGACTAGGAGCAGTACATGATGGAAGCCCTCCACCATCATACCTCGGCGGTCCAGGGGCCGAAAAATGTCAATGGACCGATGGTTACATCATGTCGGATTTGAGACACACGGAACGGGGCTTCCGATGGTCCCCTTGTAGTGTCTCAAGTTTCCACCATTTTCTCAAGTAAGTCACTCTTTAACCAAATTTACTTTTATTAATGATTGTGTGTTAGTGGTGACACTGCCACATGTCTCTACAACGTGCCCCACGAAGATGACAGTTTACCACGAGTCCTCCCTGGCAAACTCCTCACCCTCGATGCGCAATGTCGCAGAGACAGGGGAACAAGCGCATGTTTCGTAAGTTTTGTCTAACAGTAGAAAACATTGGTTGAGATGTTTATTTGTAGAAAGATGATCGGGTCTGCGCTCAACTCTTCTGTTTCGACGCCAGTAGTGGCTATTGCGTGGCCTATAGGCCCGCAGCTGAAGGTTCACCTTGTGGTGACGGCCAAGTAAGTCCCGATTAATTTTTTTCGCTCGTTGATTTTTTGATTTGTTTCAGTATTGTTTGAATGGTCGATGCGTGGCTGAGCACGAGAATATAATTCCCGATTATACGCAGAACACACCGTCTTACATCCGAAGCGGAAACAACCAGGGTCGGCCTTTGTAAGTTTATTTCATTGCCGATTATCACCGGTTTTATTTGTGACACAATTAACATGATTTACACTTACGACAGGTTTCACGAGGACGACGAAGAAGTTAATCAAAGACCCGAAACACCGAATTATTACGATTACACGACACCCCCTTACAACCCAAACCCACCTTCATACAACCCTTACACGACTCCGAAACAGTTTTATCAGTTTTCTACCACCAAGTCTCCTTATAATTTTAACAATTTCGCTAGACAGTACACTAGTAAGAATCCTTATCAAACCACTCATACTTATTACAGTCAAACAACCCCAAACCCGTATGTCGGTAATTATTATCAGTTGAGGCTACAGACTACTAAGAATCCATACGATTTCGCTAATTTTGGAAGAAACAATTACGACATTAATAATAATTACTTGAAGCGGTCGTACAATACCGCTAATTATTACAGCGATAGTAGCAATATAAGAAATAAAAGTGCCGTGTTTAATAGGGGAAGATAAGGGTAAGGCTTTGTTATTCGTCATACGTCATCCCTGTAATCGTCGTAATTAATCAGCATGGTGTTTACGTGTTCACAGCTTATTTCAATCTCTGTTCTTTGTATAGTCGTGAAAGTACAACTTTCCCCTTCGATTCTTATATCAAATTTATTATCTCGATATATGACGCTATTAACACAACCATACAGACTTTATTACACTTACACTTTACTCCTTCTCCTTGTGTACTACCAATAAAACACAATATTTTATTCTCATTTTTGTGTACTTACTTGTGCCACCCAGTGATCACTATTTGAACCGCTGAGGATGGTCCCATCTTAATGCAACTGACTTCGTTTTGTCTTGTTTTTCCTACTCATGATGAGTTTTTTTAACAGAGAAAACTAATCTTATTTTGTATTTATTTTCCAGTTAAGGGAGTAATAAACAGCACGCAGCAAATACGTAAATTTAAGGTGTGATTAAGAAGGAACCAACAATGGAGAATTCTGTGCCTTAAAAAAGTGACAAACGACTATTTAATTTTATTTTTTATTTGAAGGACTTATAAAACTTTATTGTTAAATTAATAGTAGTTTTAGTGTGAACAAATAGTTTATTTACTTGTATTTGTAATGTAAATAGTTTGTAAACATACGTTTAAAAATATACTGCCAATTCTCATAGCATCAAGTATTGTGATGAAATATTTATGCAATTGTAACATATTTATCAAAAAGGCAGAGTGCAATTTACTTTTAAGTCAAAATTTTACATTTGTTTGTTATTCAAAAATCAATAAAACCCATCAAAAAATACCAGTTAAATCGTAGTTAAGTTCCTAAAGTCGCAACATAAATTATAAAATTGTAAATGACTGTAAAAATTTGTATATTTGCCGCAATTAAAAATACCGACCAGCCATATACTCATTTATTTCAACAAAACATAAATCATCAAAAAACATACACATAACTATTCGTAAATATAATGGATTTGTCACATTTTAATACCTACACCAAGGGACAAAGGAAGACCCTATCAGGAAGCATAAGTTAAGTAATCTTCCTGTCAGTCAATGTCGCTGCTTTGAAAGCAATACGCACGATCATAGCCCCAGACAAAGCGCACACAACCCCCGCGGGCATGATTTTGCCTGAATTGTAGAATCTGTACCCCATTACGCCTGCTAAAATTGAACTGGTGACCAATTGTACTGAATAATTGGAAGGATCTCGGCTAACTTGGAAGGCCCCGTATGCGAGAGCACTGCCAAACAGAAGACCAGCCGCCAATGACGGTATCGACCCTAAATATACACAAGTCATGATTGTCTTTTGATACATAACCTCAAAATGTTTACCTGCTCTGTAATAACCGAGAACACCGCCTGCGGCTACCGCCCCCGCGTAAAGGAAGCCCGGAATGTCTATGGGCATTGCGAATTGACTGGGTTTATAACGAAATTTGTAGGTTTCAAGAGAAATTTATTGCGCTTGACAGGAATGACAGTTAGATTTGACAGATTTTGACGTTTTGTGATGTTGAAAAATTTATAAAGCAATTTTCTTGAAATGACTTACCTAATTTGGTTATCTAATCAGTCCGTACGCAATTTCGGAAATGATACTGCAGTTTATATTCACTCCTTTGATTTTTAAACAGACAAAACACTATAAACAGTTTTTCTCGAAGAGCTTAAGGTTATGTTTTGTTTGTTGACATTTGACAATATTGACGGGTTTTTTAAGTTTTTTATTTAACTACATAAAAAAATAATGCTTTATTGCGAAAACATTCTACACTGGGTGCAAATCACAATAATAATAATACTGCACACCTTTTAATACATTTATAAAGTTTTGATTTTTTAACATAAATGCAAAAAGAGAAGTGCAAAAATCTACATTTCACCTAAACCAACCAAATAACCTTTAGTACAAAGAACGCCCCGACATTTAATGTGGACCAAAAATCTTGAAACCCATTTGACAGACAAATCTACACCCAAGCTGTCCTTGATTGCGTTTTTAGGAAGTATATCTAGAACATCCTTAATAAACTTAAATCCAAGTAAAAATCATTGATCTTACCATTGGAATCGCTATGTGTTAGCAACTGTACATCATTGTCCTTACAAAATTGCTGCAAAGTTGGAGGCACAACACAACACGTGGCCAAGTTAATTTGAATTATTGATGGTTTGATCGTTGCCCATTCAAATACATTTCTAAAAGTAGTTTCCTCTACATCTGATAATCCGATCTGGTTAATTTTTTCATTTTTAACGTATTCCTCAAGGATGCTCCAGATGTTTTTTAAACTGTTTATGTCATCTCCAGCTTCAATAAACTTATCTTTTTTGTACTGCAGAACTACATTTTGTACACACGGTACCTTCAAGGTCGAGAGCCCTAAAATGCACAACAATCTACCTTGACTTCTGACCATTTATTGGAACATACCTTCTTCTATAGCTTCCTGAATTAAAGCTTTACTATCACTATTTATAAATATTTTGAAGCCTATTTTGAGATCAGAGAGAGACTGTTCATTCAACTTAGCTTTAAGGTCATCTGAAGGCCTGTTAATCAATACCTTGCCGTTTTGTACAGGAGTTGCGTTACTGTTTTTGTATTCTTTTACGGTAATGTTGATCGCTTCAGTTAGCTGAAATTTTAAAGTTAATTGATGAAACATTAATTATTAATCATTTTACCTCTTCAGTGGGATTTAGCCCCGATTTTCTTGTAATATCATTGATGGAAAGTATGTTTCCAGTGTTAATAACACAAACTTTGACATTCGCTAGCTCCATAATGTAAGAATTACTGCTGCGTTAACAAAACCGCTTATAAGTATTCCTGTACGTACGATGATTAAGACATTTATGTTCCGATTACGCAATTTTACTCAATTATTACTGAATAAAGACTTGCGTAGTGGGAAAAAGACGCAACAAATTACCACTTTGAGGTTAGTTGATTATTGTCACTGATTAAAGTTTCTGGGCAAAATCATTGACGTTGCACTTTCTTATCAGATAAACTATCTCAAGAAATTATTTTCATATACGAGTTTTTTCTAGAAATGCCAAAAATTAGTTCATTTCACAATCCCCTGTTACAATCATATGTCTTTTTTGACAGTTGGTTGTATGTTATCAATTTGACAGCTGGACATCCAAGAACATAACAATAACGGTGAAATCTGATCAAATGCATGAATGGAATAATTATTCGCAATATTCCTTATTAGATTCATATCAATCAATAGGCCATAATAAAAAAATACCTATTCCTCCATTTATTTTCTGGATTCTGAATGTAAATTATTAAAGAACTTGAAATAATTCCACTACTTCCACTAGCAACATTAGTTATCTGCCTATAAGGGCCTCTCAACCTCACATAGAGTATGTAATAATTAATACTCCTAGTAAAATAACAGTAATTAAGAAAAAAATGATAATTACATTACTTTACATTATCCAAGGATCGTTTCCTCTTTATAATGTATTACGCAATCGAATAAAAAAAAGAAAAACAGGATTGTCCATCCTATAAGTATAGGTTAATTTTATCCCAAAGGGATTAAAATGGTGAGGGCTTTTTCAACGTTTTCGGCTTATCCTTATACCTCCTAAAATGTTTTCAACTTGTGTATGTTACGAATCGGTCGAAATCTAATCTTATTGTTTACTTCTTCAAAACAATATTTTTTTAATAACTTTTCCATTATCCGAGTAACAAGATAAATGGAATTTTAAAATTCCGCAATATTATAATTTGTTATTAACTCATAACTTGGGTCACTTTATTTTTACTAACATTATTTTGAAATCATCACTTCTTGATATAATTTTTTTCATAGTTGTAACATCATGCCATTTTTTCATTTACGATTCGTGTGTACCAACCTATAGTATCTATGTAAAATGAGACACTGGATTTGTTTACTTGAAGAATGAAATAATTCGCAAACTAAATCAAAAAACGACGCTGCAAGATAATGGTAATTTCTTAAAAATTAATATTAGCTTCGCGGCAAATGTTTTTAGTAAATACTAGGCAGTATTCTCACATTTTGTACTCATTGAAATCATTAGATAAAATTAAATAATTTAAATCTCAGTGGGGTGAAACAATTACATAGTTGTTACTTGTTATTAGTAAATGTCACATACAGTTGGAGACAAAATACTTTGGTCGTCACATTTCTGACACTTTAATGTATTATGTATACTACAGAGTGGTTATGAATGATTTTCATCTAGCCAGCTTTGGATTTTTTTTTACATGTAACTTTATTTTTGCCGCTCTACTTTCTTGAAAGCTTTAGTTCTGTCATTAGTGTCACTTATTAATTAATAAAAAATTGTTGTTAATTAAATTTTTATTGTTTCAACTAATTTCCAATAATAATTGATAATAATGTATACTTTGGAAGAAAACAAGTTTATAATTGAAGTCTGTTTTCGAAGTGGACGCTTAGTAAACGGCGATTTTTTAATTTTGAGTTAAAACAAGTAGGTACCCCTATTTTAAAGCGGCATTTTTTATTTTACATGGAAAATTCACAGCTGGCTAGATGAAAATCATTTATAACCACTCTGTATATTTCAGTGGATAGTAGAATTCTCAAGGTCACAACTTACGAGTGTACTCAACTTTTATGCACAACAAAGTAACCTTGACGAATACACTGATCACTTTTGACAGCATTTTGACATTTATTGACAATCTACGAACAGCTGGTGTTTTAATTAGTAAATCTTGAGTTTACTTATTTAAATTGATTTTAATGTGTTCGTTAACGGAAACCGAAGGGACTACAATACATCCAATTCGATTTCGATATTTAAAACAATCCAAAACATGAGTGTTTGAATAGTATTTGAACGAGTTTTATTGAGTTCCAATTTTAGTTAAATAACTTAAAGATATAAGAAAAGTACTTTTATTTTAAGTTTACTCATAAAAGGTAATTACAAATCTATCAGACATAATCAACTCAGATAGAAGCATCTGCAGGCAACGTCAGTAGAAAGTGAAAATTGTATCCAACAAGATTTGTTCTTGGTTAGAACCAAAGAAAGGATTAATTTGGGTTTGCTTCCCCGTAGATAGGCTGGCTTGTGACCTTATTCATAGTAGCAAAAATTTCTTTTAAATGATTCGATGAACTGCAGAACTATCGTCACAATAAAGAATTATGCTAATCCTCCAACATACCTCCAACACGTTATGTCACAAACTCCTATCGCTGAAGCACAAAACTAAATTTGTGATTGTTATCTATTAGTCCTTAACAAACCTTTGAAATTTACCGAAAGGTAATAAAACAATCTTGCTACCCAGTATAAGTCAAATATCTACGGAACATTTGGAGAGTTTTCCGATTTTTAGTCAATCAACTAAACCTCTGCACCACTAAAGGTTTCCTTAAGGCAACTGCGTTTGTTGTAAGCTGTGAGGCACATTATTCTTGTACAAGAAATGTTTCATAACAATTTTGTTAATTAAAACTATGGATGTGGCTAAAATGTTTGTTATTATCAATAACGATCTTTGATTTATTAAGAAGAACCAACATTCAAGAGTTTTATTTGTAAATTGATAACTGCCACAAACACATGAACGTGATTAACAGATTCTAGCAACAATATGCTTTTCTTCTTACAAATCTTTCATATCAGAAGTTCGATAGACGTTTTGAACAAATTTCTTGGACTTGGGGTTTGGTGTCCAACTTTTAACTTGATCGACACTTTTTTATCGGAGGTAATCGGAGTTATTCACTGATGTTTCATCCAAAAACAAGCTTCGGCTTAAAATGTATTTTATTACTTGAATGTTCTGAATAATGCACGTATTGTGCCCTACAATTTTATTAAACCCCAACAGCGTCGTGCATAACCTTTAATTTCAATGTGACAGAAAAAAGCACTGCTGCCACCTTTAAAAAATAATGTAAAAAATCATGGCTACGAGATTCAACACAACTTTAGTAAAACCGCTAAAAACCCTGTTTATCAAATTCTACTATCAACTGAAATAGAGTGTATTCAGAAAACTCCCGTGACGTTTACAATGTCAAACCAAAATTTTTGAGTGTATCTCAAACGACATAGATGACTATTATTTCATCTGACTGTACTTGATGTCAAGTTTCCATGGTACACGGCACATGCGCCAATGATAATAATTAAATCATTTCAAATCAAGTGATAGCGACCAGGTTGTTAAACTTTGAGTGAAGTTGTCACCAACAAAGCCATAGTGACTTTTTGTTTAACTAACTTAATGTCATTTTGACATATTGGGAGTTTAGTGAATATATTATAATTCAAGCTTTAATGAATGACAATTTCAAATTAATGACAGCTATTATATCTTTCTATCAAAAATATGTACAACTTGTCAACTATGATTGACAGTAGCGAAAAATACGGTTAACTGTCCTAAAGCATGCTTTACAATTTAATGTCACCCAAGTGACATTGACGACCAAAGTATTTTGTCTTCAACTGTACATTTTTTTAAATGAATTTTTAAATTTGAAAAACACCATCATAAACTAATTAAATATCTAATAATTAATAACTAAATTTATAATCAACATATTGTTAACAAAAGAAGAATATTAAGACCTAGGCTGGAATAAAAAAAAGTCCCAGGTCATAACTTCATTATTTTTAAGCTTTAACAATACTTTAAAGTTCATCAATGTTGAAAAGTTTATTGTGAGCATTTTTTGGGATAGACACATATTTGAAAGTTTGTAAAAAAATAAGAAGCAATAAGTAGGTACTGCTTAATTTTTGAAAAAAAATCAAAATTATTTTTTAATAGTTTTTAATATTTTGGATTTTTATTTCAAATTTAACAAAAAACAACTAATGCAAAATTGTAAAAAAGTTTAAAAAAGTGGGTTTACTCATTTCTCATAGATTAGACAATGTTCAGAAACAATATGTTACAATAGCTTATTTAATTCTTTTGTAAAACTTTGATCTATCGGTCTGAGAAAACGGTTTGATGAATCGATTTAAAAATTTACAGGGTTATAAGACGTAAAAACATAAGCCTCCCCACCAATATTTGTAAATACGCGGTGGATTTCCAAAACAAAGCAAAAAGTTACTTTTTTCTCTTATCTTTAAATCAATATTGAGGGTGAATAAAACATTTTTTTTATTGTAAAAGGATCTTGTAAGGCATTTATTCCAGTTTATGACACTGCACTATTACACTCACATTCTCTGTGCGGTTATTGGTTGCTGAGATATCGATGATCATAATATAAATAAATTCTTTTTCATTAAACGTCAGAAATCTGAGCGACTAATTGACATAAAGAGAGTGTAAGAAAAGCTTAAAGTCTGTTCTTTTTTTTTAATGGAAATGGCAAACAGTCTTAACGTTGGTACCACTAGTAAATTCATTCAGCAGGTTTGCTAAACATTCTCAATTTTTAGCAAGAAATTGTCAAGAATACAAAATAAACATGAATGAGAAAGAACCTCGGAAAGAACGCAATTAAATTAGTGTCTTGTGCATCGTTTTTGAGGAACGAGTTGAAAAAGTAACAATTTTGAAACTAAACCTGAAGAAGAATTTACAAAATGCATCAACTTTGAACTCATTTCAATAAATTACCTACTTGTATCTTTTGCTAAATAACTTTTTTCCGTATAAACATCCTTTTTCTTCAAAGTTTTTGTAGCAAGAACCTCATTTTTGTCTACAACATTGTGTTTTTATAAAAATTATTAGCACTGAATTCTGTCTTTAGACCTTAGGTAATGATGTCTGTCCTCAGGTATTCAATTATAGCGCTTTCAAAGAGCAAACAGGCGCACAAGATTCATAAAAGTCAAAATTTTGACAACATCTCATAACCATTTTTTAACAAAATTCCTAGGGACAAAAACAAAAAAAAAGCAAACAAAATTTGTGGCTATGGAGACAAGCTGCTACCAATTTCTTCACCAAAATTTTGACTTGGTAATTTCCATTAAAAAAAACAGACTTTATTAAAGCTGAATGAACAGACTAAAAACAAAACAAAAACACTAGAAAATTTAGAAAATATTTTTGTTCCATTTTAATATTTTGGAGTGGTGTACAGCACTTCTGCAAACTGAATCATAGGAGAAGCAAGTTTTTAATATTTGTTCACCGAAGTAATAATGCGAATATTTTTTACCGAGTTCTTTACTTCGAAGTGATACAGAAAGACTGTGTCTGTTGGTAACAGATTTGAAAGTAGGTTTGTTAATAATTTGAAACACTGCAACTGGATACGGCTTCGCATAATAAATGCATACTTGACTTACAACCCCTCAAGATTGTCCCATTATTGTAGATCACTTTGTATTAAAAATTAAACTGTCGCTTTAGAAAGTGATTTTTCCCAACACAAACGTGCAATATCCTGCAGCTTCTATTGTCTATAAAAAAAATGCTGTTTATACATTAGACAAATATGCCCCTCCACATAAAACATCTGCTATTTAGATAAAAAAAACATTATTTTTCAAACTTTGTTGCCACATCAGTGGCTAAAGAGAACTATCATTTTCATCTAAGATATGCTTTGAGTTGCTGCCAGAAAATCAGCTTATTGGTAATTGCGCTAATAAACAAGGTCGAAAAGCCGTAAAATTAGAAAAAGCTCGTGATCAACCGCACCTTCCAGCTGGTGACCGGTACGAAGATAGTGGTGATCGCACGTGACAGGCATAAGTTAGACGGGCGGCCGAGGCATTCCGAAGCACTGGCTGTCAGTGGCCGCTTTGTGAAGCCGCTTTCTGCTGGAGAGTACGACACCGTTGCTTACGACCACCGTTTACTATCACTGACTCCTGTCCCAACCCCGGCGTTGCCGTTTGTCTTTAGTAAACCGAACACAAACCAGATACACGACCAATCTACACTTTGTGCGAGCCCATTGACCATCGACTACCTACCACATTTTATTGCTCCATTTCTAGACGCAAAGCCGTAATTCCAAACGCTGACAATCTACCTCGAACATACGCAAAAGGCAAACTGAAAATTTTTACTCGAAATTCGGAATATTGAATACGTGTATTTACGTATCTAATTTACATTTCCCATGATCTATGAATAATGCAAAAAAAATATCAAATATACAGAGTTATTCATGGAAGGGTTATTTCTGAAATTTTTTTTGCCGCAACCAACAATACCAATATCACTAACTGCTAAATTAAATATGTTATTAATTTTAAATTACAAATTAAAGTAAGTTGGATAGATTTGCAAGAAATATCAGATTGACAGATAACCTGTATTTAATCAAAATTCAACAAATAAACTCCTGCATAAGATCTGCCTACTGCAATCTAAAAATGATCTACAGTCATCGTCACTTTTTTAGTAAAAAAATTAAAACTATTCTGTGTGAAGCTTTAGTGCTTTCAAAATTTTGTTATTCGGTTTATAGATCATGTATTGTTGCAGCTGACAGTCACAGAATACAAGTAATTCAAAATTCTTGTTTGCGTTTAATTTTTTGCATCCGAAGAAGACAAGGCATTTCTCATAAACTTAATGAAATTGGATGGTTATAGATATTGAAAATCGCCGGGTTCTTCATGGAACTTCACTCTTCCACAAAATCATTCTTTTAAAGACACCGATCTATTTGTACCAAAAAATCGGATGTTCACAACCTAAACATTAGATTTAAAGGTTTACTTACCCCTCCACTCCACTCCACTGAGTTATTTAAGAGGTCTTTCTCATATCAAATTACTAAATTATACAACAGTTTACCTCATTCGTTTAAAAACCTCAATTCAGTGAGTCGCCAGTCTTTTATGGCCAGAGGCTTGAACTGTATTTTACAAAATGATGGAAGACAATTTGTACATCGTTATCATAGTTGTTGCTTTATTTTAGTTTAGTTTGAAAGATATTACATTAGTTTTATGAACAAAGTATTCTGTATGTTTCAATCTTACCTGTGAAAGTTAGACAAATCAGTTGGATCAAGCATTTTGAACTGTTTTCAAAAAATGTATCTTTCCAATTTGTATTTTTATAACGTGAAGTGCGCTGCCTTAACTTAACAATTATAAATAGGTAATAAAGTTTGACACACAATTGATTAGAGCTAGAATTGGTTAAGTTTATTGTATCTAGGTTCTAGGTATAACAACGACAATTGTATAATGGGTTGCGTTTTAGGTTCGTCAGGGTCGTACTCTTAGATGACTCACCCTGTATATTCTCATATTTACATTATTTTCTAAGAATTCATCAGTATTTTTCTATTAATTTATTATGTAACATAAATAAATTATAACTACTTTAAAATAGGTATGTAGATAAATAAACATAAACCAATTATTGGACAGGTTTTAAAATTCTCTCTAATTTACAAATGGTACTGCGTCTTGCATGGTTTTAAAAAAATCTCATTGTCTTATACTGACTCACATTCAAAATACTAAATTTTTTATTGTTGGTTTATTAATTCGTGGAAAATTATTAAAGAATTTATTTTTTATATAAAACAAATAAATCAGCTTTCAGTGACTTTTGTTCACTCTCTAGTGTAAATTCTGTTATCTTGACTGTGTTTAATTGTCTCTGAGTCAAATTGCGACAAAGTGACACATCAAAAAGTGAAATAGGTACATACAGAGTGCGCCAAAACTCGCGCCCCAGACAAAAATTTCAAATAAGATAAGATACCAGGAACATGAAAACAATGTTTAAAAAAATTCTTATTTTTTGACATTTGACATTTTTTTATGTCTATTTAATGATACTGATGATCTTGTATATGTTTTTTTACAATTATTTAGTAAAGGGACAAAAATTTTGCCAATAAAAGCCACAAAT